GTCTATTACAGAGTAGAACTGTTCAGTAGGGTTTCCTTGGCGGTAATCTTTTTCTCTTTTCTTAATATTTTATTGAGTTTTTGGTGAAAGTTTACATGACAAATTAGGTTCCCATTTGCTAATTTGTATACAAATTTTTCAATGATTAAAAATGGTATGGTGGAGCGTGAACCTCAGCCTGTATGACCATGGGACCAGAAGAAGTAGATGGTGCCCGGCGACCACTGTGAACCACTCAGAAAGGGATCAGTGCAAGAGATCCCGGACAGAGTGGGAGAACAATGTGGAACTAAACTCAAAAATCATAAAAAAAGACCAGGTTTACTGGTCTCATGGAGCCTGGTGAGGTCCCCAAGACTGTGGCTAGAATTGAACTCACTCCTGTGGCTTGCAGCCAAACAACATACAGGCACGTAGGGTAAATGTTTACATCAGGTAAATACACCACTCGGAGCAGTCATTAATGGGAGAATAGAAGGGCAGTATTTGCACAAAGAGATAGCTCAGGGGGCAGGAATGTATAAGAAAGAAGGACACAGGGAAGAGGTAACTATGGGTAGGAATTGGGAAGAGAGCTGTTACATTGTAGGGAATTGCAGCCAATGTCATGAAACAAAACGTGCATAAACTGCTATATGGAAAATGAATTTGCTCTGTAAACTTTCACCCAAATCACAATAAAAACTAAAAAGAAAAAAATAGCATGATAGAGCCATCTGACCCCCTCTGACTTCACAAAGGGAAAGGAGAATCATCATCAGCATCTACCTTATTTGCATTATTAACAAGCTAGCCAATCCCTTCAGTGTGCCACAGTACCTCATTTGCATAACCCCACCCAGCCATTTGGTGAGCCTTGTAAAGGCCATGTTAAGTAATTCACAAAGCACAGTGACATTAGTTACATTGTTCACAGTGTGTCAACATTGTCTTCAATTGCATTCTGGTAGTTCCATTTCCCATATTCTAGTTTCCCTGTCCATTTGTTATAATCTTTCTGGAAGCAGATTGCCGGGTCTTTGTTCCGCAGCGCCACTGGGTGGATTCCAACCACCAGTCTTAGTGTTTAACAGCCAGTTGCAAACCACTTCCACTATCCAGGCTCTGTGGTTAGTGGCTACCCTATTGGGCAGTACAGGTCAAAAGGCAGATAGGAAAGAGGCCCCCCGCCTGCCCTTTGGGATGCATGTGTAGATAGAGATGAGAAAGAAGAGGGAGCTGGCAAAGGAGGCTGAGGGGCAGCCAGAGAGGAGAGAGAGATGTCCTGGAAGCAAAGGCAGAAAGTCAAGTGGGATTTCTGGCTGAAGATTAACCATTGCGTTTGCAACATCATGGTTCCTGGCAGGCTGACCAGGAGCAGTGTGGGTGTTGGTCTGAGAGGGAAGAGGAGAGGCTGAGTATGGCCCAGAGCCTTAGGGGCCTGGAGCCCCATGGCTCCATGAGAAAGATTGGCAGGGAGAGGTTTCCACCGGCAACCAGAGCCAGCACGGACCTGATTCTCTGGGTTGCAGAGGCCCCTGACACCCCTGGATCCCAGGCAAAGGAGATGACTCGATGCCCACGGCTGAGTCAGTGAGCCCAAGAATGACCCCACTGAACCCTGGCCTTCAACTTGTGCCTGGTTGTTGGGGAACTAGCTGTCCTAGCAACAAGTTTGGTGGGGAGCTAAAGTCCGAGGGCAACCATTGTACCACCAGAGACCCCTTGCTATGTGTCTTCTGATAACAGACCCTGAGTCAGGCCAAAATTCCATCACCAGCCAGGCTCCGGGCCCTGACCCACCCCGTCTACCTCCCCATAAGACACTTTATTTCCTCCTCAGATATCAACAGTGATGGTGTGCTGGATGAGCAGGAGCTGGAGGCTCTCTTCACCAAGGAGGTGAGCATCCTGGAAGCTATGAGGGCAGGGGGATGCCCTGATCAGCCACATGGCCCCTCTGGTCCCCGCTTAAGTCCTTCTGAAGGAAAACTACAACTCCCAGCAGCCCCCGAGGCAAGAGGAGGCTGCCTTGAGTGGCAGTGTGCCCCAAGGCCTGATGGGAGTTGAAGTTCCATCTGCCTGATGAGGGCGTACCCTGGGAACAGGGTGGCGGTGGGCTTTGAACCCTTCCTGCCTCTCCTTGGCTGTGCAGCTGGAGAAGGTGTATGACCCAAAGAATGAGGAGGATGACATGCGGGAGATGGAAGAAGAGCGGCTGCGCATGCGCGAGCACGTGATGAAGAACGTGAGCGGAGGGGACCCGGGCCGTGGGGCAGGGGACGGGGAAGGGCACCGCAGCCCTGCCACCTACCCTTATTCCGGTCCCCCAGGTGGACACCAACCAGGACCGGCTTGTGACCCTGGAGGAGTTCCTCGCATCCACGCAGAGGAAGGAGTTTGGAGACACCGGGGAGGGCTGGGAGGTGAGGGCGGGGCCGATACTCCAGGTCCCAGAGCTCCCTCCCTCCTGGTCGCTCTGTGAGGAAC